CCTTCAGCTGCATACGCGCAACGGGGAGCAAGTGCCCAGCAGCAGGAGTGGCAAGAACAACAACCGTCACAGCCGCCACGCCCTCAGAATCGTGCGCGATACGCTTATTCCGTGGCTCCTACCTCTGGCCACTTCAATTCATGCCTGCTCCTCCTGACCACCAAGCCTACTTCATCATGCGTTGGCCCTCGTACCTGTTGGTCATGGCTCACGTCCGCATCCGTACCTCCCCTGCCGACGGCTGTCCCTCCACTTACTGTCGAGCCCCCGGAAGTCATACCGCCCGCCCAGCAGCTTCCATTTCACCTGTGCCAGTGGAAAGCCCTACACCCCTGACTCTCGCCTTATCCACCGATTCCGAGCCCCCGACTCGCCCGCCTTCAGTTCCTTCTTATATTGAGTCTGCTCCACCTACTCGACCACCTTCAGTTTCTCCTCCTCCACTGCCACCGAAGGACACTTCGTTTATGCGGGCATCTGCGTTTGCACTTCCTGATTCCCCTCACTACCCATCTATCCCTTCCCCATCTCCTCGACCACACGCTACTCAGCATCAGATCTTCCATGAGTATCCTCATATCCAGCCTGCACTCAGGGTTGATCCCGACGCCTTTATGGTTCCAATGCCTCGCTTTCTCTGGTGAAAATTAAGAATAAGGCTAAGTCAGTCATCTCGCTTTTCAAGAAGCCACCGGCAATTGAGGAAGCCGAAAGTGAGTCTTCACCCAGTGAACGGGACGAGGATGTTGCCACGCTAGCTACGGTCAGTGAGGCGCGCAGTCAGTATCGCCGTTGGGGCCTTAGTCCTCATGCGAGCATTCAGGATGTGGCTGGTTGGGAGGAGTCGCAATGGGATGAGGAAGAACCTTCCACTCCTCGAGCGCCGACCTTTGACATGTATGTGCCCCCAGTATGAGTACCCATGAGATGGGGGATGATGATGAAGACGCAGAATATGATGAATGGAGAAACGAAGGGACGAAGAAATTCTCAAGGATGTTCAAGGTCAAGAGCGGATCGTCGTCCTCCCCTTCTCCCCCGAGATATGGTCATGGTCATACTCACGGTCGTTCAAGATCTGCTACCATCGCATCTTCCTATGCGGTGTCGCCACCATCGACCTATTCCCGAAATCGACCTATAACGTCTTCCCCTACGATGTCTACCACACGTGCACGATCGGGCTCCGGTGCTATACCGCCGAAAATGCAGCTTTATCACCATGGAATGTCAGTGGCACCAAGTGCCTCAGATAACACTGTTTATCACCCATCGTCTGTCTACTCTGCTGATGAGTACGAGTCTGATAGCAGTGTCACCACACCTGTTTTCCCCAGCAACAACCCTCGACGGGGGTTCGTATATTAATTTGCTTTCGGTTTTTCTTCACCCTTAAACATATGTCTTAATGACTTTTCTGCCGTTATTTAGTACTGGCTTTGGACTGGGTTCTGTATGTGTTATTTTTTTTAAGTTTTAACTAGGCCCCCTCGAGTCTTTCCTTTCGCTGGCACACAAAAAGTAATTTCACTCACGATCCGCAAACGCCTCTCATATAATGTTTAATGACCTTCTTCCAATCATTCGTCTTTCGCGCCCCCACCACATTTACGCTATTTGTAACGATACGGGACCGCTTTCTTGGCGCCCTTTATTTCTTTTACATAAAGTTGGCTGTCACGTATATTTGTATCGTTTCGTTAATGACAATCTTCTTACGCCCATTTGTATACCGCATTACTTAACGCTATAGCCTTGTGAGTAGCAAAACGTAGATAGAGGCCGTGACCGCCATTGATGAGTTTTGCTTTCCCATTACATAATTGTCGCTGATTTTCGTGTAAGCCCTAGTTACAGTACTGTTACATAGCGTCGGCTATTCACGACGGCGTTGATTGGCGGAAGCGATAATGTTACTCATGCAATACAAGTAGTTTTATCATACGAGTCAGTTATGAGACATGGGAGGAGACCTTTTGATGGGCGGGGTTCACCTGGTGATCAATTTACAGGAATATTGATAGACCAACTCCGCTGGGGCTACGGCAGTCGGCATGATTTGAAATGTCATTCCTCCAGTTCAGGGTGAAATATAAACGAAAGATCGTACCAGTGAGTGAGGGGATCGAGGAGGATGGGCGGTGGATGTGAAGTTAGAATTAGTGGCATTGTCATGTTTCAACGCAGATACCACCCGAGAAGGAAGAAAAGAATTAACGACGAGGATCGAAAGGAAATGCTGTCATGATTTTCCTTACTTATGTACACGAAAGAGAATGATGTGAGGCACGGAATCCGACCACAGACCAGCAAAAGCACGTCTTTCAACAAACCACGCGGTAGATTACTTAAGTAAGAAATGGGTCAATATTGTGGGGTAATTAACGCTACATGTGAGCCCTTTAGCGGTAATGTAGCGGAGTTGGCCGAATCAATTTGTTCATGGATTCATTCGTTGCTACCTCTTATTTTCTGTTTCGCCCTGAACGGACCAACGAATGCCTGACACGATGCGTCCTCTGCAATGCAAAGGGACGCATCGTGCCATCAGTACCGACTACCATCATCAACCGCATTCTAACTCTTACACCTGCTCAGGGCCTCAGGTTGTGATTTTTGTTTCCTGGGATTCGTGCTCTACAGGGCCGAGCGAGCACTTCGGCAGGTCGCCGTGTTCCAGCAAAGGAACCATCTGCTATGTGACTTGCGCCATCCCCCCAATAAGGCTGCTAGGTATTCCATCCATCAATTATCATATCTTACCTGGTGCCCATTGGCTCACCAACTAGTAACACAAGACTGTCTCGGCGTAAAACGTTGCAGAATAGATATTCCTTGCATCCGTTGTATATTTTGCGCCCGAACAGGCCGATAAGAGTCCATGCAGGTGGCGACTGCATATTATTTTCCCCGGAAGTGAGCAAGATATGAACGTGGCCTACCTCAAATAGAGCCAAGGATCTCAGAAAACGCATCCCAGTCTTGCTCGTCTCCTTCAGCTTCTGGTCCTTTATTAATGGCAGCGATTTCTGTGCTCTATTCCATCGCCTTGGCTTTCATTCTTTCAACTCAGGCTTTCCCTACCTCCCGGAGTTGGCGTGGCGGCCCACCTCACATGAATGGGGAAGAGGCTAGAGCATTGCACTACTCTACAAGAGGTGACTCGCTCCGCACCGGTCGGGACTTTTCGCAGAGTTTGTGCCACTTAATGAATGAGGACCAGATGAACCAGATGGATCTTCTCCTTCAGAAGGCCAAGGTATGTATTTGCAGACCCAACCGAGAGCCACATCGAATGATTGACGCTAGGAGTATGCGATTTACACTTGGGGTCCGGGTTGGGATCAAGTTTTGGTGAATCCTGAAGGTGTATGTACGTGAATCTTTATCATAAAAACCGCTGATGATGAACTCGACACAGTACCCTTGGGGCACGGCATATGCGTGTTATCCGTTTTCGATGAACTATACAGTAATATGGGACGCAGAGCCTTCGTGTACGCTTTCAATCGCAAGTGACAATGGAACCATCGTGGGTCTTTCTACCTCCATATTTTTATTATAGCAATTTTCTCTCGGCTTACGGATATCCTAGTGGCGCGGCATCGATTATGCGCAACTGAGTCTCTCTCAGGGGACCCTCTCTCAGACCACGTCCACAGTTACGTGTGAGTCGAAATATGCCAGCATCTACCGATACCACTATTCATACTCCTGTTTCTAGCTAGTACTGCCATGGCTAGCGGAACCTCGTTCACGGTTAAACTTGAGGCTGGCCCCGACATGCTCAAGACTGGCTTCGAACAGCAAAGTAGGATATTCTGAATTTGCCGTGTTTGCCTCCAAAATCTAATCTCAATCCATCAGCCAGTTGGACTACGACTAACACCAACTCTAAGGGTGACAGTGTTGAGGTCGGGTACGATACTCGCTCCACACTGACAAATGCTATCCAATGCACCGGCCCGGTCAATGTCACAATGTATGCCCAGGTTCGGACCTGCAGTTATCAGGGCGGTTACACCATCCCCATCACAATGCATGGTTGGCTCTGGTTCTATTACCCAGATCTAATCCAGGAGCATTTCGAATGTTCGTAGGCTGCTATTGACTAACCAACAGAGATTTATTGATGTCTTGTTCATTCCGTTCAGGGGCCGTTAATATGGATGCGATCACCAATCTCGATGTGCGCCAGCAGAACATAACGATGGCCGTCAACCTAGACACCGAATCGTGGGGTAACTTCTTTGGTAAATTTCACTTCTTCGATGAGATGACCTAGCATTCACCTGTGTGTCCAAAAGCAACTTGCACTCCCCTTAATGAAAGCACAAGCAGCGCTAACCCTCCCACTCTCACGACCATTGGCGCGATTCCCACAACTTTTGGTGTGTCTCCCACTGCCAATGGTGCCCGTCCTCCCTGACGAGTCGAGTTTCATGTATTTGTATTTTGTAAATATTGTGTAACCATAAAATTTAATGGCAAGGAATATAATTTTCTTCTAATCTGAAGTACAGCGACAGCCCCGAAAGATGACCACAGTGGGAAGTAAGTCACGGTAAAAAAAATATTGGGGACACCAGGTGAAAATCGCAGTATCTCACGGTGGAATACCCTAGTACGCAGAATACCTGAAGTCCCAGGGAAATTACTTGGAAGGAGCGCGCTGTTTAGAACTCGGAGATCCCTTAGTAAATTTGATCGAATACCTGGGTTCCAAGGTATCATACTAAGGATGTACCAGGTATTGTGGCATGTTCTTCTCCGAGTAAATTACCCAAGTACTGACCCATGTTTTGTACCGTGAGTAACAGCGGCATTGTGCTCACATTAACATACCATGTGTCCTCTTGGTTTCTTACTTGGACACCATATATTCACTGCGTTCTGAGGCCCTTACCTCAAAATCCCCGCGGAAACATCTAATAGGAGGGCTAATGCGGGAGCTCAGTCTCCGTGAATGAAGAACTGAGGGGGAAAAGGGAAAGTAGAGCAACAACAGTATATACATTGTGTCACGAGGTGAATACGGATGTAAGAAGGATCATGTGGTGGTGGTTGGTAAGTCACGGGTCATTGTTACTCCAACAACATCTACAGTTGATACTTCCTGGATTTCACAAAATCCTGGACCTATCCAGTGCTACTGAAGATGCGTGTTTCTGGGTCTCTGGGTTGACATACTTATGTACTGCATCTAACATAGTAATAAAATAGGAGCTATCACGCATAACTCAGCACTGTGGGAAGTAAATCACGGTAATTAACATCATGCAGCCCAAGTTATTTACAAAATTGCAGTATTTTACCTATGGCATTTGGCTCCGTGGAGAAAACCCGGTTGGAAAAAAACTTGGGTTGTTGCACTCGGAATCTGTGTGGCAGTCTTCATCAGCAAAAAATTGTTATGCTCCTGAGTGCTCCAGAGTATGGAGAGCACTGGAGAATCAGGAGGAGATTGGCTGGTCCAGGAACAGCTCATTTCCTCCAGAGTTGGCCAGGTACTCCAGGGCACTCCCAGGAGGGCATGGAGCATTACTTTGTGCACAAACATATCCAGTAAATACAATTTAAATGCTTCAAAATGTATAAGGGTGAGAAGCTTCTGGGAGCTCCTGGAACATTTGAAAATGAAAAGGAAAAAAAGAGGGAAGATTCCCCATGAATACCTCCTACCACAAGACTAACACAACAAGACACTACTTAACATTTAGATCAAACACTATACTATACATCAAGGACACTGAGACTCACCAATACACAGTCAAAATTTATGGCCTGATATATGATTAATCTGGCAACTTAATCACTTTCGGGCTTGCAGAATATGGAGGTGGGGGAAATGGGGGAGAATGAGGGGGAGAATGAGGGAGAAATGAGGGGGAAATGAGGGGGGGGAATGAGGGGGGAATGAGGGGGGGAATGAGGGGGGGAATGAGGGGGGAATGAGGAAAATTTGAAAAATAGGGACTTCTAAAAAGTGAAAAAAATAATTAGGGAAAAAATCAAAAAAGAAAAATTCAGGAACTGTAGTGCCTTTGAAGTGCTTTCAGGATATATAATTATTTGTGAAATTGAGGAAGAAATGATGGAGAAAAATGGAAAATACTTTCGAAGACCCAAGAAATAATGAGAACTGAATTGATGGGAAAGTCTGAAAATTGAATAGGAAAGTGAGGGGAAGCCTTGTAGCATTGTTATTTTCTGCTGTTCTAATTTTTCCTGATTCTTCTTGGCCTCACTCCCAGCTGCTCCTGGATACTCCTGGATACTCCTGGAAGCTCCTGGGAGGGTCCAGGAGCAGCTAATGGAAAATACTTTTGGAGACCCAAGAAATAATGAGAACTGAATTGATGGGAAAG